ACGAAGTGTAAGTAGATGTCTTTGTGCCAGAATGCACGTCCAACATGTAGCTTACATTTCTGAGAGAGGTTCCACCCTTTTGTCTCTTGTATGCTTTCTTGTCACATAAAGCTGACAGTTTGATCTGTAGGACTTTCTTCATCCATATGATAATTTGGGAATTATGTGTCTGGATTATAATACCTAGCTCTTACTTAGCACTTTTCATCCATAGATTGCCAAGTGCTTTACAAAGGCAGTCGGTATCATTATGTGTACTGTTTCCTTAAATCTGTAGTAGGAAGCCAACTGGAGGTGCCTAAGGAAGGTTCTATGCAGAAGCTCGCCAGTGAAGCAGAGAAAGAGACAGAATAGCTTTCGGAATAACACTGTTCTCCTTATTGTAATGAAGCTTTTGTTCAATGTTAGAAGAAAGTGACTCTTTGTGATAATTTGTCTTTGTCACATGATACAAATTAGATCAGATTTAATCCTAATTATCTGTATTTTTACAATTAGTTGTATACAAGGATTCTAGGAGAGAAACAGTGGTGAATGGTTAATATTTTCCAAACGAGTGAAACAAATCTGTTCCAGAATTGCAGATCAGTTATAGATCAAACTGATCATACAGCTGAAGTGTCTTAAACCAATATGTTGAAGAGTCTTCATCTTTTTATTAAAAAAAGTAATATGGCAGTATGCCAATATTATCATGTACATTTCTTCCTCCATCTCTGTACAATAACAGTATATCTTTGGCCATCGTTTTTCCCTCCTGACTTGTCACCATTATCTGTAATTTTGATTAAGTTATGCTAACAATGCTTACTTCACTCTAGCTTGCATTGCTAGTCAGCACACTCCTAGAGAAAATGAAATATCTCATATAAATCTTCTATGCATGCCCTGTACATGATTTTTGAATTAAAATAGCTAAGACGTGTTTTAACAGCAACTGAAGTATCACATTCAAATTTGCCAAGCCACTCCTGTCTTTGCCAGATATTTTATATTATGCAGTGTGTTCTCATTTTGGCAGTAGGTTTCATTGCATATATTTTTGCAATGAGAATTATCACACTTTATTTTTAATCTTACAGAATATTTTTTTTTTTACTAAAGATAGACCTACATCTAATTGTAAAATGATGTTTTGCATTATTCACATTTTCCACTCAGCATGATGATTTTTAATGCAGCAGTAGTAACTGTTCAAATAATTCTTTATGATGTTATATATAAAAAGAAAGCACACCTAGAAATTATATAAAATTTGCAGTGTCCATTTATCCCAATGATGGTTATCCAGAGAGAGAGCAAGTGTATGTGAGAATGATTCTGTAATCCAGTGGTGAGGGCACCCTGCTGGGAGGTAGGAGACCCTGGAGTCCAATCCCCCTGCTCCAACCACTTTTCTATTATTTGTCCACAGTGGAACAGCTTCAGTAGGAGTGAATGAGGGGACCCCATATCAGAATATGCCATAGTTCAGTGGTTAGAACACTCTCCTGACAGGTATCACACCCCTGTTCACATCTCTGCTTTCCCTCTGGCAGAGACTGGGGAATTGAGCCACAGTGTCTCACATCCCAGGCAAGAAATCTAACTACTGGGCTAAAAGTGATAAGGTGGGCACACAGCAGGGCCGCCCAGAGGATTCAGGGGTCCTGGGGCAAAGCAATTTTGGGGGCCCCTTCCATAAAAAAAAGTTGCAATACTATAGAATACTATATTCTTGTGGGGGCCCCTGCGGGGCCTGGGGCAAATTGCCCCACTTGCCCCCTCCCCCCCCGGGCGGCCCTGGCGCACAGCCCATTTCCTCCTCTGGCTGGATTCTGAATGGGACCTGATCTGATAGGTGACCTCTGAGCATGCCTAACTGGCTCAGGTCCTGCTTGTGCCTTAGGGAGCCAAATGCTTATCTTCCCTGGTTTGTGAATCACTGTTGGTTTCAGGTGAGAGAGATTTGTCCAGATGCCCAGAGAGATGCAGCAGTGTGCACACCCAGAAGCTGAAACATAGGAGCCTAGGGAACTTTTACTTTGGTAACTTGGGCGCCGAGTGAATTTAGGTGCCTTTGTGAATCAGGGCATAATACTGGAAAGGATTAATAATTCAGAATAGCATTTTATCTTGATAGTTGATGAAGCATTAATGTTGTAAAGACTTTTTTTTTTTTTTTTTTTTTTTACAAAAAATGTTTGAGGTCACAAGGTGTATTGGTTTTACTGATCCTTGGATGGGGAAAATGTGGGAGTTCCTCAATTAAATAACATTAATATGAATGCTGGAAACATCTGAAGTGTTTTCCCACTCCCCACGGGTTATAAACTTAAGTTTTTATATTAGCATCTCAGTCAACTGAATGGAGGTTTTAAAAATGCATTTCAAATGACATTTTTAGGTTATCTAGGGAGTAGGGAGCCTTGGATTATAAGCGACTATAATTGGTAATGACCTCACTGCATATTAAGCAGTGGGGGGGCCGTTGTCTGGCTTGTTGGAAAATGTGTGCACCCCTTTAAGGGCTAGAGAGCCAGGGAGTGACTTTCTGCTGCAGTTGGAGACCAGGTCAGCGTGGGGACACTAGGTGATCGGAAAAGGAGGGACTATATAGGTCCATGCTGGTTCAGGAAAAGCCAAGCCCTCTTTTACCTGGACTAGGTGAAACAGCTCCCCCCCATAGAATTGGTGAAATACCAGGTTTTGTCCCCACGGCGGGTTGGGGGGGCTTAGCTGGGGCGAACGTAAAACAGGAATTAGGGTACGATGTTACCGCTCATTTTGTAAATGTGGGGCAGATGTCCAGTGCAGGTACTCTGTACAGAAGGGATACGGTGACCAGATAAAATGGACTGGTAAAGGATTTAAAGGAAATACTCTTTAAAGGAGCATAAATGGGGGTTTCAAGGCTCCTATGACTAGTACGGGAGGGAGCCAATACCCCCTCCTGTATAGCCCCCCCATTAATCTTCATTTGAGTAGGGGGGCTGGTCAGGTCCCAGCAGCGGTTTGGCTGGGGACCTGGATGGATAAGGAGGAGGGGCTGACAGAAGCCCCCCTCAGATATATATTGAAATGATTATAGACTTACCTGCACTGCACACTTTTATCTGCCAGTTACTCCCAGACATTTAAGAATAAAGTTGCCACCTAATTAAACTAAATCCAGTGTCTCCTGTCCTTTTTCCAACATAGCTGGACAATGGAGCAGTAATTACCCAGTATTATGATAAGTAGCACACAACTTGCTTATGGCTGGAGGCCTTTTTGACACACATTTTATAGATATTGTTTTGAATGAGACAACTGCGGAACATTTCAGTAGAAACGTTACGAAACAGAATTCTTGAATTCTTTCTCATTGATTAGTATAAAACTCTTCAGAATGACGTGTTGGAAATTTAATGGCATATGTTCAGGATGGATTAAAAGGAATCATTTATACATTTTTATCAGGGCTGTCTGAATACTAACACGGGCAGAAAGCACATCAAAGAGAGCAATCAAATTTCTAAAATGCAATAAGGGCTCAGTCTTGCAAGGATATTAAGTACCCTCAACTTGATCTAACTTCATTGGTGTTGTGGGCATTCAGCATCTCATGGAGATGTTCAACACCATGAGAACCAAGTCCATACTCTTCACAATCCTTCTGAATATAGACTGTATCCTGGCAGGGAAGTGCTGGGGAAGAAATCTTCCATTCAGGGTTTCAAGAGTTCCCTAAGCTCTTGTATCCTGGCTTCAAGGGGTTGAACAATGAACAGTCAGTGGCTCTGCATAGTGACAAATCCATCCAATCTAGCCCTGCCATGCCACCGTATGACACCATGCGGGAAGCTCCAAGAACTGCACAGAGAATAGAATGTATACATCTCCTGTGCAAGCTCTTGAAATCCTGTTCGTCTCTTGCTCTTCATCATTGCATAGAACAGTGGACCAAACCTGCTATCCCTGAGACCCTTAAACTTTTAACTGGTTACATCTGAACACAACAACTGCATAGTACATATATAATACGTTTTTACTTTGTGTGCATAAATATGCATACACCTACAGCCTTTATATTTTGGCTTATTCTGCTTTTATTTATTTATTTTTGTGTTAACATCACATCTGAACCTATATGGGAAACATTTCACCAGTAATGGTGGCTCTGCAGTTGTCTTTTGATGGGACTTCGACACTGCTGCTGACTTAATGTCACATGGCAACTACTTCTTTGATTCAGTTAATGTTTCCCTTATTTTATACTGCCCTTTCCTGTACTCTGTTCGCTAATTACCATGTGATTTCTTTGATTGCTTGTTGAGATGGCAAAAATGCTGTGCCTGTATTTTTACTATTCTGCTACTGCTGAGATTCTTATTGCTGACTCTTGGGGGCAATGAGATCCATGAACTGTACTAGTTTTCTTGCATACTTAGCTGCTATTGCAGTCTTCTATAATTATGATTTAATTAACTTTTGAGTATTGCACAAATGTAAAAAAGTGTCAAAACAAGATAGCGATTGTAATTCTCAAATCGATGAACATTACTTCTTGGGATTTTATGTTATGCAGATACTGAGTAGTCCAGTGAGATTGAATGGTCTATATAATATAAGAGAAATCAGATGTGTGCAGTAGAGGGGAGTTTGATGGTCTGTGGTTAATCGACTTTTGTTTTGGTAACTTGTGGCCTAGAGCCTTGGCTAGATGTTCCTTTTACTCTTTTTATAAATAGCAGTAATAACATTTTGAAATATGCTTTGCTTTTTCTACTGCGTTTTCTTTCCCACTCAACAGCTGGCTGACTGAATATTAAGTGTTATTGGCCAAGAATGTTTTATTGTGCAAAAATATTATTATACACCTGTACACATGTGTAATAAATATACATATCCTTGTGGGTATGTATGCATACACACACTATACATATTAAATCTGCAGTAAATATCTGTCTGTATCCACATACCCATATGAATATATATCATGCTAGTTAACATTTAATCAATTTGTTTTGTTTTTGTAGTGGATGGCTGTATACACAGAGCTGCTGGGCCCTGCCTAGTTGCTGAATGTCGCAACTTGTGTGGCTGTGAGACTGGACAAGCTAAAATTACTTGTGGATATGACCTGCCTGCCAAATGTAAGTCAACTTCTTCACACACTTTTTGTTTTAAATCAGACAAACTTTTCACATGCTTTCCCCCACCCCAGAAGTCTAATTCAACTAGGTATTCGTTTAGAAAATTAGCAGTGATTTCATTAAGCATGTTTTGTGACAATCTCTTCCTCTCCCATCCTTTCAACAATTTAAACTTTTAAAAATAATTATTTCAGGTGTACTACATAGTGGAAATACAAACACAATGCATGTTTTATCTTACATTTTTTACAAGGTATAGTGTACTGTTTTATATATATGTTTATATAATAGGTAGTCTGAGGATCTGAAATAACTTAGACTAGGAACAAAGTGTGCATTATCATATTTAAGTTCCATGGAGACAGTTTTTGGAAATGATGCAGATTTCATATTCGTCACGCAGATTTCTTGATTGTGAATACATTGAGAGCTGAGGAGATCAAAGTGATGTATTGTGTTTTCAGCTGCTGTGTAGAGGCTGATTGGCAATTACTGTGAAGGCATCTGTCACACTTTAGCTTTCAGTGGAATGCAGTTTTCAGTGCTGGAATGTTTTTGCACTTTGAATGTGGGATTGTTAAAATTCCCATTCTGTTTAAAAAGGTAGAAGGTTATTTGATTGACCTTGTTGCGTAGAGGTTGAGCCAAACTTGGAAAAATAAACGTCAGGGTATTCATGGTGTGTTATGATAAGAGTCAATATTATTTAAGATCCTATAAAATGTATAAATGCAGGAAGTATTATTGATTTGGGATCTTACAGAGATGTGTATTAAGAGAGGTGCTTATATGTGAATTTCAAGAAAGCACCACGAGGATCTTCTCGTGACACCTGAGGTTCTCAGTTACGCACACAGTCCAGTGCGAGGAGCGTGCTTTAGCGAAACGTATTCAGATTTTCTCTTTGATTTTGCCATAGGCTGTTTTCCTGTAAAATCCAATTCACGTTGCAGTTATTAAGACTTGACATAGTGTTTTCATGGTCCTGCTGGGGTACGTCAGACAAAAATGAAAATTTTGGTCCTGGTTGTTTCGTGATCGTCTCTGCTAAAATGGAATTACCTAATTAAAACAAAAAAACAAAACAAAAACACAACACTACACACATGCCAACTTAGTCATTATTTAAGTGACAGAGATAACTATAAAATAGAAACCTTTGTTAAGGTTTACAGCCAGATTTTGCCATCTGTAATTCATGAATTATGAAAGGGGTGAATTCCACTGCGTGGAAAGTGCTGAGCAGTACCCATGGGGCATAGTTGTGTGGGGTTGTATTTGGCCAAAAATACTGTGAAGGTTTGTATAAAAAGAGAGTCGGTTATAGATGTTACCTGTCCAGAAGCAATCAGTTAACACTTCAAAATGGTCAACTTAAGTTAATTGTTCCAGAATTAGAAGTAGTGGCAAGACTGTTTTAGGTCAACTTTTCATTATATATACACTATAAAGCCCTTAACCTCTTTCTAACCCTTTCTCTGCCCCATCTCCATTGAAATAAAATGATTTTATATAACATTACTACCAGCGCTCATGCTGGGGTTTCACTAAATGCCACCCACACCCCTCAATGGGTAGGGGAACTTGATGATAGGGCCGGCAGTGAAAGGGACAGCCCCAGCAACAAGGGAGGGAGACACTTGCTGAGGGACACCAGGTAGCTCCTCAGCCCCTGGAAATCTCTGGCACTCACTGGCCAGCATTCCCCAGCTTGCAGGATTTAACTTAGGGCAGGGGCCTTGTGGAGCCTCTTTCAACTCTGTTCCACCTTGCCCACCTGAACTATGGGTCAGGAAGGAATTTTTTCTCCCATGGCCAACTGGCAGAGGACAGGGAAGTTTTTTTTGCCTTCCTCACAGCACCTGCAAGCCACAGTGGCTTAAGTAGGAATGCGCTTAGTACCTAGCTGAGGTACTTGGTTGAGCTGTTAATTCATCACAACTTGGGGCTGGTTTCCAGTGTGGTTAAAAGCATAAAATGAATGGTTCCCAGAGGTAAATGACCTGGGATTTTGGTGATGGGCCTTGGGCTCATGGGATAGGTTTAGACTTTATGGCCCTTAGAGGCTGAGGTCCCCACCCTTCTGCACCCTAGGTCCCCCTCACAATGGGGATTTGTGTGGTAGGATTCAGAGCGAGCTGAGTCCTAGGGACTAGGCTAAGGAGAGCCTACCTGGAGTTACAGATTATATGGTGGAAGCCCTGTAACCTCTATGCTGGAATCAACTAAATGCCTGGTATGAGTGTATGGGTGATGGGCGGGTAGTGCCCCTCCCCTGTGTTTATGTTCTGGCCTGCTGCTTAAAATCCATCCAAGTGCCTGTCCTTGTTTCCTTGCTGTGTCTGCATCAATGAAGATACACCCAAAAATCTTCATAGTTGTGTTTGCTTTAGATCCCAGAATTTGGATGCTTATTCAGACTGTTTCAACACCTTAAATCTCATGAGAACAGGTTTCCATTGAATTTTGGCACTTCGGGAACTGGGAAGAGCAGAGGCCCAGAAACATTAAAACACATTCAAACCTTTAAAAATAGTTTGGTTTGGTGTTAGATCTGGAAATGGGTAAAGTTTTGGATTAATTTTACATTTCCTTAATTGGTTTGCTCATGTTTAATTTTGATATTTATTTTTTCTCATTAAAATACATGGGAGGGATGAGACATAAAACTTACTCACCACTGGGTGCATAATTCCTTTCATATATTTTAATGAGAACAATTCAATATAAAAGTCAAAGCAACAAACACTACTGGAAAGTTTTACAACAATTGATGGGTTTTAATTCAAACCCGTTAGTTTTTGTGGAAGGAAGTCCTGCTTGAGACGTATAGTTTTTTATTTTAGGAGTGGTTAAAAATCACATACATACTATGACACAATGTAGACAGAAAAGTACCAGTAAGTGTTCCACTTAATCACCTGTTGTTGGAATAGCAAACTGTCCAGAAATTGAAATGTCAGAAAATGAGAGTTCTGCAACTGTATTTTTTACTTGTTCAAATAGCAACATGTCATGTGGAAAATATGCACCCAGTGACAAACAGACAGATCAGCAAGAAAACAAGGGTATACAACATATGTGCAGAAGGGCAAAATTAGATTTTCTTGGGTTCTCTTAGATTTTCATTGAAATATGTTTTGACTAAGTGTCATTTACCCTTGTTCTTTGAGAAGCTATTTGTTAAAGGTTAATTTGTTACTTAAACATCGTAAAACATCCATTTGAGAATTGTTAACTATTCAGGACTGTGTTTTCATGGAGACAGAAGCCAAAGAGCCATTGCATATTGTTAAGTCAATTTATGTCCGCTTTTAAATAACAGTATGACAATTTGATGTTGGAAACTATTTCCTATTATCCTTTGTGTCAGGAACTATACCAAACAGGAGCCCTAAAGTCAGTCATCCAGTTACACAGTGATGATATTATTGTTATGCATCAGCAATTTGTTTGGAAGATATTACTATATGGATTATAACTTGCCTTGGCAGTATTACCATGGCTTTTGGTGTTTTTTAAATACTAACTATATTAAGTTATTAATAATTCACATGTTTTTAATAATTTCTTTGTCGCTTTGCTCCCTTACAGTACTTGGCTGAGTGATAGTCCTAAATACATTTTTTCAGTGTTCAGTACCATGTTTTTCAACATGGATGTTACTATTATTCATTGATGCAACAGCACCCCAGACTGTTCTAGACATGTTACCTGCCCCAGTCTCTGGCCCTGTTACAGGGTGCTCTTCTCACCTCTGGGTGATGCCTACTTCTGGCGATTGGTCCGCCTGGTTCAGCACCCCTTTTCTCCTCTTCCACTGAATCTGCTCTCCTCCCGCTCACGGAGTCGCAGGACAGCTGCTTCGTGACTTGGCCCTCTGGTCAGGTCACACTGTGATTTCCCCTTCCGGGGGAGTCTCATAAAATCCTTCTGCACTGGCAGTGTCAGGTCGTTCTCACACCCACTGCCCTGCTTAAGTCGCTCCTGCAGTGACTAAGGCTAGGTCTACACTACCCGCCTGAATCGGCGGGCAGAAATCGACCTCTCGGGGATCGAATTATCGCGTCTCGTCGGGACGCGACAATCGATCCCCGAATCGACGCTCTTACTCCACCAGCGGAGGTGGGAGTAAGCGCCGTCGACGGGAAGCCGCGGAGGTCGATTTTTGCCACCGTCCTTACAGTGGGGTAAGTCGGCTGCGATACGTCGATTTCAGCTACGCTATTTGCGTACCTTAAATCGACCCCCCCCGTAGTGAAGACTTAGGCAAATCTTCCTGTTCACTGCCCTTAGCAGTACCACTCTGCAGTGGACGGTAGAAGAACCAAGGCCTGCCCTCTCCACTGGATTCCAGCCCAGGGCCCTACGGTGAGCAGTTAAGGTCTGCGGCTACATCCTCCTTACTGCTCTTGCCCCTGAACTAGTTCCTGTCGTGCTTCTCCCAGCTTTTCATTCTCCGCCCCTCTCTCTTAGGTCTACTAGGTAACCCTTTCCTCCTAGGTTTCGATCCCTTTCCTATCTCCCCTTCCTTCTCCCTTATCTCAGGGAGAGAGACTACAGGCTTCCTCTACACTGTTGCCAACCTCCTGGCTCTATAGAAGCGCTGCCTGTTCCTTCACAGGTGAGCTTCCTCCTAGTTAGTGTCCTTCACACAGCCTAAATCTCCCATTTGCAGTTTAATTGGCTGACTGGGCTCCCCTGGCCTAATTCAACTCTTTCAGAGCCAGTGTGGGGAGTACAGCCCATCACGGCCCTGATCCTGAAAAGGCAGACATCTTTAACTGAGAGTAGTCCCGTTGAAGTCAATAGTTAGAGGCACAGCATTCTGCCTGTGTACCACATGCTGTGGGATTGGGCCTAGAGTGAAAACTCAATGTTTTAGAAGATTTAGCATTCAAAAATTATGATGAATATTGCTTTGCTAAATAGGGAACTTTGAAAAACACTTCCTGGAGATAATTTGACATTTGAAAGAGCGTGTGTTTTGTTATCAAATT